AAAAAAAAAAAAAAAAAGGTGTTCTTTGGTATTCTTTTTTAAAAAGTGGCTGTCCAAGAAGATGGAAGCAGGCTGCTCTGTAGGCTAGAAACATCTTCTATGCCCAGAGTCTCTGAATGTAATTGTTGTTAGGTAAAAATACAGTCAAGAACTGGAGTTTTTATTAAAATGCATGGCTGACTGCATAAAGAATCATTTGATCAGTTCAATGGGGACACGAGTATCTCAGTCGCTTCTGGTGTGGGAGCCACGTGCTGTAGGTCACTACTAAAACACAAGTGACTCCCCCTGATCTGCAGGAGGGGCTGGATGTGGCACCTCTGGGTCCATCAGCGTCTTCAACACGCTGGTAGGGTGAAGACTGAGGTGACCCCTGATGTTCTGCATTGACTACCCCTTGTTATTCCCTTCCTCCTGTCCAAATATCTTCCCCACGTCCTTTAGGAGGACCATGGTCAGGTGAAAACAATCTTTGCTTTCCCATCCAAGCACCACCCTCAGTTGCGAGAGTTTCCACAAGCCTAGGCCTAATTTATTTAAAAGCTATTTTGATTCATAAACTTCATTAAATACAAGCTTCTTGTCACACCCTTAAGAAAAGATAGTATCTTAAGCCCATTTTACAGGTCTAGGAAACCTGTAATCATTTCGCTGTCCTCCCCATGCTAATTGCAAACCTGTGCTCTGAGATGGCTTCATGTTTGCCCAAATTCTCTGCAGTTGTTTTTTCCAGCATGAAGTTTTCCCATTTTTGGTCCTTAGACATTCTTAGACTGTTGCATATTCTGCTCTTCCCGAAAAGACTTTCCTTTATGAACAGGACATGTGAATTGAGGCCTTTGTTTCTTCATTATTTTATATTTACAGAAGATTAACAGTGTGTGAACTCATTTGTACAAAATTTGGAGGCCTGCAGGTTGAAATGATGTGTATGTTCCTTATTGCTCTCTTATCATCGTCAGAGTGACTGTGATTCCACAGAATGTAACTCGGCCACTAATTTGCTTTGGATGCCTTTAGCTTGGTCTGTGCAAAGTGCTTCTTCCCTCACTGGTACCTTCCATCTGTGCATCAGGTTAAGGCTCTTTCTCTCCCATGGGCCAGAGGATTCATGTGAACAGCAAGGTCTGTTCTCCCTGCTTAAATTCTCCTCGTGGCTCTTCCTGAGGGCAAAATCCATCAATGTGCTGGCTTGGTTTCTAAGCTTCTTTCCCTTGGTAACCATAAGGAGCAACATATTGGTGGCAGCCCCTGGAGCAAGTGAAGTACACACGATAAATGGGACAAATGGGCACAAAAAAAGGCTCTGTGACCTGATGGGGGGAGCTGCAGTCGTTCCCCTCCTCGCCCTCTGCAAGATGCTGCTTTTCAACAGAGCCTCGAAGGCAGCGGAGGAGGATTTGGCATCCAGTTGGCATTTGAGAAAGGGAGCCTCCCTGCCAATGCACAATACCACAAAAATATCCTCTCTACCCTTGTTGTGCAATAGTGGGAGTTAAGAACAGGTTACTCAAGCTCCATTTAGCCCAAATTTTGCTGTCTGAAGGCTCTGAACCCACCCATTATTTCACTCAGTGCTAAAATATAGGAAATAAATGAAGAGATCATATACATGGTTATATATTACCTTGTTGTTGTTCTATGACCTGTTACAAATCCATTATTTTAAGGAAATGACCGTGCATTTGTTTGGTGAGGTACTTTGAAGGGACTTGAGAATTTCCACCTTTCCCTGGCTCAACATTTAAGTATTTTCCATCAAGCAGAACGGTGTAACCTGGGCTCTTTACAGCATATGCTCCAAAATACCCTGCTCCAGGGTCAGGATATTCTGTTGGCAGTTCTTTTTCATTACTGAAAAAAGCTTCAGTGTGAAGTTTCTCATGGAAACATTCAAGTGAGAGAAGTTATCTTCACCTAATCTTACTGAAGAGAAATAGGCTCAGGATGAGAATCATTTCACAGGCTGCATCTTCCCTTTCCCAGGTGGGGAAAGTTGCAAAATCTGGGCTAGTCTGGGCTATTTTCTCCTGTCTTCTGCAGGAGTGATGAGTTGCTGCAATAAGACTATCCTTGCAATTAAAATGGTGAAGCTGTGATGCTGAAATCAGTCCAAACAGTTCGTCGTCCTCTTAGGGTTGTGCTTGGAAAGAAATTTAACTGAAGTGTGAGTCACAGTGTATTGCCAACGTGTGCAAAGCTCCCAAAGGAAGAGTTTCAGAACTTGGTTTCCTCATGATTTTCGTAAAAGTAGGATTGGTCCCATAATTCACAGTTAAATTCAGAACTTCAACAACAAAGTAATTATAACTTTGGTTAATTATGTTCTGTTTTCATCAGCTGCAACTGGCTTGTGTCTGCTGCAATGAGGTTTTACCCACAAGGAATCAGCAGCAAAGAGAAGGAAAAGCAGCAGTGCACAAAATTAAGAACTCAGTGGAGATAATTTAAATAGTCTTCCACTAAAATACTTGCTGGAAAGCTGAAATGACACCTGGCAAAAATATTCTTCTTCCCTTTAATCTGTCTGGCAAATTTCAAGCCAGACAGTTTCCAAGGAAGAGGAATGAGCTGCAGGAAAGCTGTCCTCAAACAACAAAAATTGATTGCATGTTGATCTTCAAGGGAGCTTGTGTTAAATCACTTACTTCTAGGGAAAGCAACATTAGGCCTGATTCAAGAACTAGTCAAGGCCCAGCGCAGAGCAATCAATTAAAACCCAAAGCCCCAACAATAACCTCCATTCCTCTGCCCTTCAGCAGTCTGCAGGTTGCAGCAATGTCAGGACACTGCTGGGTTTCACTGGAAGTAATCAGAGCTTACACTTAGCTTTTGAGATACCTGTGTGGTTTTCAGGACCTGCAGAGTAGCCAGGAAGCACTTACCTGAAACCCTCTTTCGTGCAGGAAACTCGTCTTTGTCAGCATTCTTTGTGCACCTTTGAGTGGTCTTGGAGCCAGGGGAATTTCTCAGAAGGGAGGACACAGAACTGGTGTTCAGGCCTTGGAGCTGGTTCTGCAAAAGGAGAAAAAATGGAGATAAAAAGCAAAATCAGCTGTCATAGGAGTGAGCAAAACATGCAACAACTCCATGTCTTGTGTCTTAATATACTGGCAGTTAGCAAGTTCCTTAAGCAGCTGCTCTGTTGATAAAATGTCTTTTGATCCCTGTAAATTCAGTTAAGGGACAGGTTCTTGAAAATCTCCAAAATCCCCTTTCTGGAGGGGGCTTGAGCTAGGGCAGGCCATAAACACCTTGGGAAACTGTTTGTGACTTGAGGACATGGTCTGTCCCAAGGTCCACGATTAACGACACCGTATAATCTCAGTCATAAATGTAGTGCATGCTATTTGTAAATAAAATTGCTTAAGATACCTGCTTGCTGAAGTCGGGGGGAAAAATAAAAATAAAAAGCTACTGCTCAGTGTCTGAATCCTTTAGGGTAACCGGATCCGAGGAGGCTTGGAGCTCTGCCCTTGCTCCCTTGGCATGGTGATCAGCACTGATTACCATCCCAATAGCTGATCAGAGCAGCTGTCAACACATGGAGCAAAAAGTTTCAGCTTCCAAAGGCATTGCCTGAGATTTGCCCTGAGATTTTGGTGTTGCAGCAGTGCTGAAAGGAGCTTCAGGGCAGGCACCCTGCTCCGTCTGACTAATAAGATAATTATATACCACCAGCAGTGTGTTAAAGGTAGTGATTAATAAAGAACAACTAATGTTCAATAAAGACAGGGAGTTAATTTGACCATTTTTTCAAGGTTTGCTAAGTTTCCTGTTTGTGCAGTGCCTCACATCACACTGTTTATGAGGGTGTTTCCTACCGCCAAGGGAGAGAAAAATATTTGCAGTGCAGAAGTTGAATTGTTGAGCACAGAAACTCTGTGCCAAGTCTTGTTACCTCTTGGTATTTTTTTTTTCTATGTATGCAGGTATTTATAATTGCATTCAGGTATAATTTCACCTTTTCAGTCGCAAGGATATTTCTTTTCATTAAACCCACATGTCCATTACCCACCTTGATCCGAGCCCCGTGCCCTTAATTCCGTGTTCTGTGTGGAGCAGTGAACGACGTTTTGGCCTCAGCATCAGCCTCGTGCTCTGCAGGAGCCAGGGGCAGCCCTGCTGCTTTCCCAGCTTTGGTGTCACACCGTAATCCTCGGCACCAAGCACCATGGATTTGGAAGCTAACACAGCAGGCCAGGAGCATTTGCTGATGTTACTCAAATTTCTGTATTACAGCACAGTGCCCAGGGCAGTAAAATACAATTTCCACTGTTTCTGCCACATGGTTTTTGTTTTTTTTTCCCCATAGTTTCTCTATCTACTTGTTCAACATAATTGTGCTTATAGTTGCTCTCTGTGACACCCCCATGTTTTACAGCGCTGCAAGAGTTACGAGACATCCCTGCTCTCTACATTCCTTCCTTGGCTGAAGCTTTTGCTTTTCTCTTGCAGAACTGTAGCCCTGCCCCTCAGTGGCAAACTGGGTGTGAGGGACAAGCTGAGACCAAAAGCTCAGCCCAACCCCGTGCTGGAAATATTCTACACTACCCGCTGCAAGAACCCAAAAGAGGTGAGTCCTCTTCTTCCTCTAGATTTAACCCTCCTATTGTTAGCGATCAAAAGAGGTGAGTCCTCTTCTTCCTCTGCTTCCCTCTACATTTAACCCTCCTATTGTTAGCGAAAAATAAATAAAAACCACATTTGGAATCCTAAAGTTTGGTGCTGCCACTCGTATTTGGAAGCTCAGAAGTCACTGTAGCACTGGCCACCTGGCACAAGCCATTCTGCAAATGCCACCGGGCATCAGCTCTGCCTCTGAACACATAGAAGCAGCAGCTTTCCATAGATTGCATTAAAAAAAATATTAAACTTCTAGGGATCTGCTCTCCTTAAGAAGTAATGATAGTTCTTTTTGGGTTAGTGTTGTACATGGATTCATTACCTGTATTAGCAAACCACGGTATCGCTGTGGCACATGAAATCCCCTAAGTAGATTCACATGTTGCCAGTCCTTGCAGCTTAGCAGATGTGGATTGCTTGGTAATCCTGCTCCCAGATGGGTCATTCTGTTGCCATGGAATCCCTGAGCTTGAGAGTGGCCTTTCGGGAAGTCTGAGGTCTCCATGGTCACTGCGTGCCCAAGAGCACCAGGAAACAGCAAACCCCAATGGTGGGTAGTTTTCCTATGGGAGATAAAAGGAGTGATCTGGAAGATCTTGGCAGGAGAATCTGGGAGCTAATTGCTGCAGCTGAGGGAAGAAGCACTGGCAGAACTGCACAGCTTGAGCCGTGTCTGGGAGGTCCATGGATAGGAATGGGAATCAGCTTCCCTTCCAGCTGCTTTTTGCAGCCTTCCTTGGCTTTGGAGCAATAGCTGTTTACCAAGGTCCTGTGAGCAGGTGGAGGAGCATTCCATTCCCCATGGATACAAAATACATTCCCACATTGACAAGGCTGTTGTGGCAAGATTCGTACTGGGATAGGAGAATTTTCTGATTCAAAGCAATATAACAGGGCAAGAACAGAAGCTAAAATAAAAATACAGGCATTCACCTGGCACAGCAAGCTCTTCTCTCCAGCAATGGGAAAGAATATTCTCAGGAATATTTGCCAGTAAGATGGTCCCTGACTTTCCTACAGCCAGTCTAACTGTTCTGATCTACAAATTTCTCAGTAAAACTACTCCCATTGCGGCTATCTAGGCCTAGCTCAAGGCCCAGCTTTGAAAGCAGACACAGAGGGCAGCTTTTCCCTAACCCATGTGGCACTGAATGAACAGAAGAGAATTTGTGATACGGGAGCTGAAAATGAGACTTCTGATGAGTGTTACCTGGAGGAAAGAACTATGCAGCCAACTCCTGCCTCGCTCTCTCAGTTCACCAATTGCATCTCGTCCAGTCTTCTAACTTCCCTCCTCTTCCATGAGCTCTCAAATTCCTCCTTATGAATCAGCTTTAACTCAAGCAGAGATGAGATCTTCCTGTCCCAGCCGCCATCACCTTGGGAAGCCTGAAGGATTTGCAGAAGATAAATGCCTCTTCATTAAAGACAAATCAGTCTTCAGGTGAATGAAGTCTCCATTTGACTCCACCACAGAAACAGAAGTCACTAAAATTGGAAAGAAGCACATTTGAAAATGGTGAATGAACACATTGGCACAATGAGATGGTGCAACTCATTGCCACGTGGTGCTCGTTAGGGAGAATGGGCTGCGTGAAAGACAAGGGCCATATCTGGAAAATGAGACTCCAGGATGACACTTCCAGAAGAATCAAACATAACAAACTTCTCTTAGGTCATACCCCAAACTCTTCAGAGCCTAAAGACAAGACAGGAGGTAACTGCAGTGTTTCTGTGAGTAGTATATGGAAAAATTATCCCTAGCAGGCCTGCTACAGTAGGAGAAAATCCAGTAGCCAAACAGGGTTACATCTGATTGTCTAAAAAAGGTGTTAACTTGGGCTGGCCAGGATGCAGCAGCTCTGTGGTGGGTCCCACTCGCTTGCAGTGTTGCCCCATTTGCCCATCAGACCCACATCTGAGTTTTGCTTCCTCACCTGCTTTTCTTTTAGGGCGAGCTGATCAATTTAGCCAAACAGTGCGACCTGCCCGTCCGATCCGTGGAGAGGTGGTTCCGGCGCCGCAGGAACGCGGCCCGACCGAGCCTGTCCAAGAAGTTCTGTGAGGCCTGGTGAGTACTGGGGGCCGAGCTCTGCTGGCACCGTGCGCTGCCTCCCCTTCCTAAACGAAGCTTGGAGCAGCCCAGCAAGAAAGCACAGACTGGGAAAAGCTCCCTAGAAAACTGTTCTATACTGAACTTCCTTATGGAAGGGCTCAGGAACCAAGTGAGCAGCTTCCATCCTAACAGCCCTGGTCCTGCAGGGAAGCCCCACTTGTTCGCCACGCTGCCACGAGGGTTTCTGCAGGATTGCCCTGAGCCTGTCTTCAGTTTTAAGATGTGAGTTTATGCTGCCACACGACACACAGTGGATCTGTAGCACCACCCAGCGACTTATTTTACACAGCATTTAAAGCAGTTCCCGTCCACGGGGCTGCCAGGGGATAGAAATGGATCTGCCTTGCAGTGTTCATCAGAATTCCCAGAATCTTCTGCTAAAAGGTCTCAAGTTACCCCTTCTCCAAAAACCCAGGAGAGTCATTGTTATTATTTGACTTTTATAGGTGCATCCACGAGCACTGGGAAGGACTGAGAGGATTCTCAGGATACTTTTAGTCAAGGAGATTCTCATATTTTCTACCTTCTCTAAAGGAGAGGAATTGCTCATTGAGAAGTCTGTTGAATGTGCTAGAGCCATGCAGAGAAACACTCCTGCTGCAATCTGGACAATCCTTGAATATTTATATGTCTTTCTTCATACAGTCATTCTTTGAACAAATGTCTGATTGATACACAGATTTGCAGCTTTGTGGTTAATGGGATTCTAATTTTCTTGTGTGTTTTGTCTGTTTTATAGCTGGAGGTTTATATTTTACATCATCGCTTTCTTCACTGGACTTGGTGTCCTGTATGATGTGAGTATTCAAGCAGTGTCACCTACTGTTCTAGCTAGTTCTATCCATCTGATTTATCTATCTTAAGAGATACCTTTACTTACCTTTACTTGTGACATTTCCTGACATTCGCATGTTGATTTTGTAATCTGAGTGGTATTTTAATAGGCATTTATTTTCATGAATCATCTTCATTTCTTTTGAAAAAATCAGCTGCCAATTTTTCTGTGAGAGTTTCTAAGGTGCCAAGTTTCTGGTTACTACCAGCTTTCTGTGAAGCACGAACAGGATTTTCCAGAGGTTTGTTACATAACAGACTGCAGCATGATCTTCACAGAGCAAAAACGTGTACCTGAAACCCTGCGGTTCAAGCCATAGAGATCCTTAATGAAATACTTCTAAGAATATTTTAATATATTCAAAACATGGTTTCCCACCCCTTGAATTTGAAAAAGGCTATAGAGGTTGGCAGAAATCTTCCCCAGGCCATTTTCTGTTTTTGGAAGCGGGTTTAAGCATGGGAAATTTCAGCCCAGTAGTCATGAATTGGCAATGTCACAAGCAACTTCAAGTCAGCAAGTGGAAGCCTCTTGGCAACTTAATTCCAGACGGCACTACCAGCTCTGTCTATAACAAAACACAGCAAATTCTGGAATAGTAACAGGCAAAAGGAATTAGCTAGCAAGAGAACAGTTCTTCTGGCATTCTCATATTCGTGTGGCATTTTCTTTCCAGAAGCCTTGGCTTTGGGACCATAGAGAGTGCTGGACAGGATATCCACAACAGGTGAGTCATCCAGGAATGAAAAGTGCTGTTATAATTCCTGCATTGCTTTTAGAGCTCTTTCCAAAATCAGGTTGTGTTAATAACAAAAGAGGGGGCATTAAATTGAATTGAGCCCTGACTGAATGGCCCACTTGGGGCAGTGAGCCCCAAGAATTAACCAAGTTTATCTCCAGGCAGAACATTTTTGTATCCGTCTTGATCCAAATGCAATAGAGGAGGAATCAGTACAGCAGGACAATCTGCAGAAAAGGAAAGTTGAGAGGTCTGAGCAGATAAACCAAGAAGCTGAAAAATAAGAGTTTTGCAAGGTTCTTTAGTGTACAGAGGAGACTGAGGCCAGAGAGGAACGTAATGTCTGAGGAAAAGAATCAAAGGCTTTGGTGGAGAGTGCGTAGAGCAGAGCGTGCTCTGAGCAGCCAGGTCTTTGAACTGGAATTCAAATGGACCCTGTGGAATTGGCAGCATGGCCAGTAGGAATAGCACCTAATTCCCACCAAGTTTGGAGGATGTTTTCTTATAGTCTTGCAATGTATATTCTCTTTATGTTCACATCAGCACCGAGAAGCTACCCAGAGGGCTGGAAAGCATACATCTCGTATCAGCCTGGACCAGAATAACCTCAGAGAAAATTGCCAGCCAGGCAGAAAAGCTGCTCCTTGGTCATCAACACAAGGAGCAAAGATAGCAACAAAAAGCCAGGTACTTTATTTGCCCAGCTGCCTCCCTGGCTATTCACACTCCCAAAGCTGAGAAACTGAAAAGTTTGGAGTGAGGGATAGGAGCATAGGAGCCTTTGGCTGCCTTTCCCCTTGCATTTTCATATGCTCTAAACTCTCTGGAGAAGACGACTATAGCTTGTTGGATAGCAGCAACCTTCCTGTAACTACTGGCTGCAGATGCCCCAGCAGACACATAAAAAGGAGCTGGATTTCATTAAGAAAAAAAAAATGATTCTAATTTCTGAAGAGGTTTTTCTGTACCATTAGAGCAGCTGTCTGCTGCAGGGTTCATCAGCATTATGAAGAAGTTAGAATATCGGGTACTATTTAATTCCTACAAAGATGGACAGTTTTGCTTTGCTGCAGCCTCCAGGACAGCGTGTTTGGCAACTTGGGCACTGCAGAGCTGACACAGGCGGACTGTCCGTGCAAGCTACACAAATACCTTGAAGATCCTGAATACTCCCTTGACTTTTATCCTCTTGGAAGTGTTTTCATGACGCCGTGGTAGGACCAAAGGAGCCTGAGCTCATGAAAGAGCTAAGTTCCAACTGACTTAGTGGATTTTGGATTGCTTTCACGGGATCAGAGAATCACAGATGATCGTTCGGTCCCACCTCCCTGCACGAGGGAGGTCACTAGAGCAGCTTGTCCTGTGCCCAGGGCCAGGAGAGGGTTGAGTATCTACAAGGAGGAGATAAAACTTCTCTGGGCAACCTCTAATTCGTTAGTTACCTGTTCCAATCCAAATGTCTGCTGAGTGTCTCTGCCAGGGTAGTAGTTTCCTCTGAATCATCCTTTGGGGAGCCGCCACGCACAGGATTTTAAAGTACTAGAATTGCCTGGATAAGAAATCACAGATTTTGTTAACCCAAGAGGAGGCTGAAGGACAACTGGGTAACAGCACCACGCAACGTGAAGAAAGCACGTGCTCCAGAGCAGACAAAGCTGGAACAAGACCCTCTCACTCTGTATTCACATTGCAAAGTTATAAAAGGAAACGTAACACACAGCTTTAGCAATACGAACCACTGAAACAAGGACGGAAAAAAGGAGTGAACAACAAGGGAGTATCTTTCGAGCTGAGTCCTCAAAAAATCTTTCTGCTGTCACCCAAAGGCAGAAATTTTAGGGGAAAATCTGTACAGTGTAAAAGTCAAAATAGTCAAACAGGTGGTATTTGAATGGGAATGGAAGACTAAAAGGATCACTCAGATCCTTGTATCCTGTCCTGTACACCTGCAATGTGTGTCTTTTCCAGAAAGATCCAGGTCAGCATAAGCCACACAACACTTTGTAACACCTGTAACAAACAGAAAAGACCAAAACCAGAGCTAGGACAGAGAAAAGAAAGGTCAAGGACATAGTTGTGTCCTAGCAGGGGCAAGGAGTGGATTAATTACAATCCCTAGTAACGGACTATGCCTTATTCTACAGGTAAAGACAAAAGAAATTAAAAAAAAAATCTAAAAATGAAACCTAAAGCTGCAAAAAGCAGCCCTTGTCGGTTTGGTGGTTTGAGATTTCTTTGGCCTAGGAAGGAGTCTTCACTTCCAGCCCTTGCCCTACCCTCCCTGATGGGTTTATTGCTGTCCCTTCCTTCCCGTTGCAGCCTCTGCAGCCGTCCCTGTTCTGGTACTACTTGCTGGAGCTCTCCTTCTACTGCTCCCTGGTCTTCACCCTGCCCTTCGATGTGAAGAGGAAGGTGAGTGCCAGCCCCGTGAAGAGCCGAACACAGGGCCCAAGCCTGACCCATCCTCTTGTTATTCCGCCCTCTGATTCGAGAGTCACAGACCACAAGTGGTGTGAAGGGGGAGAGAACATTCTCTGCTGGGAGATCCTCAGTTTATGCTATGAACTCCTGGGTCTCTTGGCTGCCTGCGTTTCTAGAATGTGTCTGCTCAAAGAGTTGTGCTATGGGTTAGAGCTGATAGTGGGAGGTTTCTTACCTAGCTGGGTTTCAGTGCTGCAGGAGGCATGCTCTGAGCAGGGGGAAGCCACCAGGACACGTAATCCACTCTGTCTCCTTTCATCAGGACTTCAAGGAGCAGATAGTCCATCACGCTGCAACCATCTTCCTCATCAGCTTCTCCTACTGTGCCAACTACATCCGCATTGGGACGCTGGTGATGGTGATCCACGATGCCTCCGACTGCATCCTCGAGGTGAGCTCGTGGGGTTGGTGGTTCATCTACCACAGCAGGTTGGATCTTCTCTGGTTCATCCTCCCACAGCAGGTGCCAATGAACCATCGTGCTCTGCTGTCTCTGACTGCTCTTTGTCTTTCCAGCCAACTAAGATATTCAATTATATGAAGTGGAAAAAAACTTGTGACTGCCTCTTCATGATCTTCTCAGCTGTTTTCCTCATCAGCCGTCTGGTCATTTACCCCTACACGTGAGTCTGTTGCAGTTACTGGGAATGGAAAAGCTGCCTCAGGAGAGGCAGGAGAATTCAGCTGGATGCTGAATCTCTTGAGCAGCCCTTGCCCTTGTCGAGCCCATGGCCCTGCTCTCTGCATTGGCTTCAGTGCCACGTGGCTGCTTAGGGTGCCCTGGATGGTCTGCTTTGGAGTTCATAGAGTTGTAAAGGCCTAAAATAAATAGCAGAGGAGGAGCCCTGCTGAAGGCTTCTTCTGGGAGGAGAGCTCTACCTGCTCATTCCTGGTGGGTTATACATAGGAACAGAGTGACTGAGGTGAAACTTCCTCTGGAATTGTTTTACTACCACCCTGCTGAGGACAAACTGCAATTCCCTCTGTCTTGCAGAGTGCTCTATAACACCTACTATTACTCCATGGAGATATTCCAGCCCTTCTTTGGGTACTACTTCGTGAATGTTCTTCTGATGACCCTGCAGCTGCTCCATGTCTTCTGGTCCTGCCTGATTATCCGCATGGTCTACAAGTTCATCCTCCAGGGCACGGTACGGAGCAGTTTGCAGGCGTCTTGCACCCCATGTGTGGAGGGAGGGTCCCCCTGGATTGCTTGGTTGAGAGCACAGGGGTCCATCCAGGATGAATCCTTCCTTACCCTGACAATGCTGTCCACAGAACAGATATTTCTGTTCACAATAGTTGTCTGGAATCTCTTTGTAGCAGTAGAAGAGGCAAGTCCAAAGCTTTCAGGATTGCACCCAAATTGTGCCAACTCATCTCTATCAGCCATAGAGCAACCCTAAGCTAATTTCTGAGATGCAGCTGTAGAAACTTGCAGGAAATGAATCCTACTCTTTCTGACTAGTCGGTACTCTGCTGCGAGACCCAAATGCTGAGCAGCATGAAATTCTCCCCAAAATCAAAGACAGGACCTAATGGCGCTAGTTTGGCCACAAGCCAGGGACAGAGTCCAGAAGAGACAGGTCGGTGCCTGTGGGGGTTGACCTCATAGCCTGAGATGAGTTATTTATTAGCATCTGACTGTGGCAATCTGTCTTAGAGGAATTGAGACCTATCCAGAAAGGCATGTGGTCATCCAGATTGCCTGTGCCTTCTTTATCTGCCATTCATTAAGGTAGCAAAGAGCAAATCATTTGCAGGCTTAAAATAAAATCAAAACTCATGCAGGATGGAGAATGCAGAGGCATAAGGTGTGACAGCCCTCCTGTTGTTTCCTCATATCCATTCTTCTGTAGATGGAGAAAGATATGAGAAGTGACACAGATGAAAGTGACAAGGATGAAGAAACAGAAAAGATGAAAGAAAAGGAGAAGAACGGGATCACATATTTCAGCAACATCACCAGCACCAACTGTATCCAGAGGAACGGGGCCCAGCAGCAGAACAACAGAACTCATCTCACCAATGGCCATGCCAAGGACAGATAGCTACTGCTCCACTGCTCTTGGGTCTGCTCTGTAACGAATCCAGTCACTCGTCCTTAGAAACAGTTTCGCTCATTGTGTAGATAAAAAGGAAAGCAACTCTAGTATCATAGCTCAATTCCTGCTTCCTGTAAACAGAAGTGTATATGGGCACTGATATTTGAAGGATATTTTGGTCTTTCTCTAATAAAAGTTTTCTATGAGTTTTAGCCTTGAAGCAGATAGCAAGGGATCAAAGTGGTTTGACTTGTATTAGACAGTACCATAGTTGTTGTTAAATATGTTAATCTTGAAAATTACTCAGAATAGTGGATAAACTCTGGCAATTTCAAGTCTTAACTGCCTAATGTTGTTTGGAAGGAATTTGTTTAGCCTTGACCAGCCTTTGGCGGTCCTGGTCCAGTGCCACTAATGATTATGGCTTGCAAGTAAGTGTGAGAATCTAAATGTTAATAGCAGGACGCCTCTTTTGTGAAGACAAGTGACCTGCCCGTACACGGAGAACTAAAACTGAGCAGAGTGGGATAAAAGCTTTGGAAAGAGGTAGGAAAACACATTTTCTTCTCGAATGAAATGCTGCTCTGTACCATATGATCAGTTTTGAAATGATTTGGTTTTTAGTCCCTTCCATCATCAGCATTCTTGCTGCAAAAGTAGGAACTCCAAAGCGCAGGTTGCAGATGGTTCCCACTTAGATCACAATTGGAAGAGCTGGAAAATCCAGGGAGTTGTGCCCAAAGTGTGAGATGATCCTTTAAACCTCTCTTGGAAGGGACAAGAAACCAGATATCTTAGTAGAAAACATTGATCAAGTATTCATGTTTTCACCTGCTGTGATGGGGGCAGTGGGTAATAGAGTCAGACTGTGGTTAGGAAGGAAGGGTTTTATCCCAAGAGGAGATGCTTTAACTTAGCCTTCTGACTGTAGGGCCTTTGCCTAGGCTTGCCAAGAAGAGGAAGACTAAAGTGGAAGTCCATAAAAGTCATGATGCAGCTCCTTTGGTGATGAAAGGATTCACTCCCTTTGAATATACTGAATGTATCTTAAATCCTGTGTAGCCTCGAGGCTGGATCGTATTCCCCTTAGAAGAGTTAAATTAGTATGACTTGAGTTGCTGTCTTAAATAGAAATTAAACTATAAAACCAAAGTATTAATGGGGTCCCGGACTCAGACTGCCACAGCCATGTAGATGCTTCCCAGTATGTGCCAGGAAGGGCCAATGATAACAGAGGAACATGGACCAAGGAAACACCTGATTCAATGAGGGAGGCACACTCTTAATTAAGAGGCAAATGAGAGTCCAAAAGGACGAGAGGCATCTGGGAGTTCTCAGCAGTTCACTGAGGTCACCTGAACTGGGACCGGGAGAGACGTTTGATCTGAGTCTGTCTGTGCTCATCTGAGGTTTGAACACTGGATGATTTCAGAGGCAAAACTGGCTCCAGCACAGGCGATTCCAGGGCAGGAGCATTTCGTGGGAACACAGCATCTGTGCCTGGATCCCGGTTCACATTCACCTGGAGGTAGTTTGTCTCTGAAACCTTGAGCTAATTAAGCGCTCTGTATACAGTTATGTTGCCACTCCTGTGCAGGTGACAAGCGTTCGGGAAAGACTGTTGTTTATCATTTTGTACTACTGAATGTATCAGTTCTTTATAAATTACTTTTGAAAGCTTTGTCTAGGCTCTTGCTCCTTTCTTTAACAGGTACCCTGGGAGCTCTGTGTTTTGGGGGTAGATGATGAGGGAGACACATAGAGGTGCCCTTGCCAGGGCTGATCTACCTTCAGTGACATTGGGGACTCAGGACATGCAGCCACACGAGGCCAGGCCAAGAATTTGCAGCTGCTGAATTTACCTCCTAGGTAAAGCTGCAGTTGACCCTGGGCAGCAGGGGACACTTTAGGACTCTCTTAAACTAGAGCTTTCCATGGTGAAAGGTTACATCAAGGATTCAAAGGGCTGTTGAATTTGATTAGAAACTACTGGCCCTGTTTTCAGCTGAGGGTCTGAATACATCCTGAGGGCTCCCTTAACACACACCTAATTTGTTATTCCATTCCTACAATGCCTTTATAACTGATGTGTGACATTCCTGTCCCTCCCAGCTGCACAGGGCACAAGGAGCCCTACAGGCGAGGGGTCCCATCAGCCCTCATTTACCTTCCAGGCTGAGGAGTTTTTGTGCCCTTAACACCAACCAGTTTCTAATAATAAACTGCAAAGCAGCTGCAGAGGCTTCACTGCCTTTTGCATCAAGAGCATTTGCAAGATAGAAAGAGACAAAGATGTTAAGGAAATAGAATTTTTCTTCAAAATTCAATAAATTTCCCAAACCAAAGTTGACACAAGCTGACTCCCACCAGCTGTAAAACACCTGACCTTGTGGCTAAGCTGGATTTGGCCTCAGTTACACCCAGGTATCAAATCTCCGGACAGAAACGCACCCATGAATAGGAAGGGGGCAAGGGAGTTTGTTGTCTATAACCTGGCACAGGTCAGTGTAGGGGTCGAAGAGCACGACGCTGGGGAGGCCGCTGTTGCCCTTTCTCTGGCCAAGGAGATAAATTTGGCCGTTGGCGGTGCTGCAGCCCATGTAAAACTTCTGGGTCAAACATTCCTCATCCACGTGGGTCCATTCGTCCGTGTTCACGTCGAACCGCAGAGCTCCCCCTCCGATGGTGTACAGGGCACCGTTCAGTTCTGTGACACACAGATCGTACCTGGGAGGAAAGAAAAATCCATCCCCATCAGGAGGGAAAGCTGCTCCGTGAAGTACTCAGTGCAACAGGGATCCTCATGGCAAAAAGGTCCCGTTGGTGGGACAGGACTTGGGCATTTCTCTGGTCCAAACTCTCCTAGGAACAGGACTGATAACACTAGCTGGGGGCTGCCGTGGTTTTGCCCAGCTGAGCTCTGAAAACCTCCACCCCTCCACTCCCAGGGCCCCTACCAGGGCAGCATCTCCTCCTTGGAAAGTGCTTTTCCTTAAAGTCCAGCTTCAACTTTCAACGCCGTGGTTTGTGAGTAACCACAGTGCTAAAAGATAAATGTATATGATGAAAAGGATGGTGCCAACCCCGCTAGAACTGAACTCCCAGCCCTGCTGGAGACACTAGGACTCGGCTGTCATTTCCTATGGGACAAAGGCCTCTTCTCAGGTACCCTGACAACACGCCCCAGCCCTGCTGGAGACACTAGGACTCCTATGGGACAAAGGCCTCGGGTACCCTGACAACACATAACGCTCTGCAGAACCTTGGTCTGCTCAGAAGGGCATTTCTTACCTGGGAAGCGGGGAGAAGGAGATGACATCCCAGATGTCCGTCTCCGTGTCCAGCCTTTGCACTCCACCATAAACGTGTCCGTTTTCATCCAGGCCACAGACCACGTAGATTCTGGTTCCTACACTGACCGCATCTCCCCTCTCCACAGGCTGAGCCATGGGGCTCATGCTCTCCCACTCCGAGTCCATCAAAGCCAGGCGCTCCACAGCTGGAATTATCCCTTCATCCGTGCTCCCTCCGAGCACGTAGAGGTAGAGCCCTGCTCCTACCGCACAGTGACTGTTGCGGGACTTCTTCATGGCAGGCCCTTCCAGCCAGCTGTTGTCCAAGCAATTGTAGATGAGCACCCAATCCACACTGTACCACACAAACTCATCCCGGAAGTATCCTCCTGTCACAAAAAGAAAATTCCCTGGGAATACAATAGAGAAAAATATCAGCTGTACGAAAGCTGGAAGTTGCTGCTAAGAACAGGGCTTCTCATTTCTGCTCGGGCTGCATCTTGCTCTCTGTTCCTGACAGAAAGCCCCAGGGGTGTAAGGAAGCTCCCGTGGGGAATGAGGCTCCCCTCTTCCATGTTCAACTGGGGAAAAAAAATATCAAGGACATGAATTAATTTGCAAGTTGAACCACCCTTGTTACGCATCTTTGACTGGAGGGTCATGAGAAGGGCCTTAGGGAGACCATAACAGTGAGATTTCTAGGCCAGCATGGGCATTAAAATGCATTAAAAGGCAAATGTGTCACAGGAATGTTGCAAGGCAGAGAAAAATGCTGCTGTTTTATCAGTTTGCAATATGCAATTTATGATCTGCCCAGACACACTGGGTCCTAGAAGCACAGCAATCGCTTCCAAGACTGCACAGATCAGGAAGGGTTGGGAAGGACCTCCGAGGAAAAGCAGGGAAAGCTGAACTGGATGCACTTGGTGTTTCTAAACCCCAACTTTTCTTTGCCCTTGCTCAGCCCCACTCACTAGCATCCCTCGAGCTACATCCACGTATTACCTACTGCTGCCACCGCGTACTGCGTGAGGTTCCTGCGCTGCAGGGGACAGCGAGCCTGCCACGTCCCTGTCTTGGGCTGAAAGAGGAATAATTCTTGCTGCTCTTTGTCGTGTCTTCCTCCCAGGACATACACGGTGTCATAGCTCCGGCTGGCACGAGGAGACAGTTCCATATTTTGCCAGCTGGGTGGAGGGCAGCTGTCTAACTTCCTTATTAATCTGGAGAAAACATCTTTCTCTCCAGGGCGCTTGCTGCGTTTCACCAAAATATCAAGGAAGGACAGACTGAGGAAAGTGACTCTGACTTCTCCCACCAAATCCAAGAAGTCTTCCTCCCTTGTTGCTGGGTCCTCCATTATCCACCTAATAACACTGTCAAAAACCACATCTTCTCGAGGAACAAAGAGGTCATCGCTCTGCAAGAATTGCATCAGCATTTCTTTGGGCAGTGCCTTAAATTCTTCCTCGCACATCACATCCCCCCAGTGAGTGAGCGCCACGTTCACGGCAGACGCGTGCAGCTCCACACAGCCAAACTGCTGCGAGTAAGTCGCCAGGCCCAGGCAGTTGGAAACATGCAGCTCTCTCTCCAAGAATTTCTCACAAAACAGTTTCACACTGTCAAACTGAAAAAAATCGGCTGCTTCCAGTAAGCTGGTGACATTTCCTTGATCTATGAGCACTTGGGCCGTGCGAGTGAACTCCAGGAGGGCCTGGAAAGACACTGCATCCATTCCTCTGATCACTATATGGTGCTCAGAGCTCTCCCTTGTGCCCCCAAAAAACATGGCTTGGAAGTAAGGGCTGTGCAGCGCGAGCGCCCTGCGGCTGACCTGAAAGAGCCTCTGTCCCACCTCGAGAACAGTGTCCAGGAGCACTTCTGAGCGAGGTCCCAGCTCCTCTGCTTCTCCTGCAGGCTCCATGTTCTCTAACCGCCGGGTAGTTAAAATTAACTCGGCCCTTGCGCAGTCTTTGCTCATATGAGGTCTCCAGAAACGTTATCCCTCTGGCTAGGATAAATAAAAGATAAGCCAATCTTGTCCTAAAAATAGCCACTGTTTTCTATGCTTCTGCTTAGCTTTCCTGTCCCACTGCTTTTAGAGCAATAATAGCAGGAAAGTTGTATAATCAAACAAGGCAACTTTAATTAGCTTCTACCTTAGCTAAGTCAGAGTGTAGTGCATTATGATCACTGTGACCCAAACAAAGTCTGGACTAGCAGGAAAAGGAAGGCAGAACAAGTGAACTAAGCTGGCTACATCTCAGGGAGTTGTACACCAACACTGAACCCACTTAGAACAGAATAACCCATTATGCTGTTTTTTTCCTTTTTTTCAAATCAAAAACTTCAGAAAGTTTGAGATTTCCTGGGAAAAACACTGATTTTCCCAAGCCCACATCTTTCATGATTAGAGTTGAATGCCAAATTCCACATCAACTGCACTATTTCAGTCATCATTTCTCACGAGTTCCATCCTTAGAATGGAAGACAGCTTTTGATCTGGTCTATTTTCATTTCCTTACACTTACCTGCCACCTAAACGAATTTCATTTAGATTTACAAGCATGAAGAACTGCAGCAACAGTTGTACTGCACTTTCCAGACTAACAAACAACAGGAATTTAAGAAAAGACTAAATTGTATTTATTCACTCGTTACACTTCAAATCTTGCTATTTATGAAGTATAAAAGGTTTTCTTTTTTTTAAAATGATTACTTACAAATGAAATCATAACCAAAAAAAACATAAATGGATATCTAAGATACAAAAATATCCAATATTTCCAGGCACTGCCTGTAAGAGAACATTAGGATCTTAAATATTCTTCCCCTAAAATTACAAGTATCAAACAGATACTTCCATAATGTTCATGTCACTCAGCTAAGACATACTATTTACCCTAGAAGTCTAATCTTTCTCTAGAAATGTGGGAATATCCTGATTTCACAGGCTATAGCATGTGGAACAAGTCCTAGAAAATAACTTCCAAGCTCTGTAATCTGTTAGGTGACAACAACAGAAGTAGTTTTCCTGCACATACAGGAAGAAACAGGCAAATCAGACTGAAGTCAAGGGCAGAACGCCTAAAAACACAATGCAAAATGCTTCCTAGCCAAGTGCTGACATCTAAGAGGGAGAAAACCATGTTCCAGAAATGTATTCAAGAATTTAAGTCATATTTGCTAATCTTCAGGGCACTCATTACTAATATTACGTGGTTGCTTCAAACTCACAATATGAAGACAGTCTCATACAGTTTCTAGACAATACACTCTCTCCTGTCAACTCTGAAGGATGACAAGTTTCACATTTATTTCGACAAAATCAGAACTTATTTCTTACACACCATGAGGCATTCTCTCGCCACTTACAAAAAGCCAAAAATAAACATTGAATTTTCTTTCACACTAGCAGACACACGTTCAAGCTCCTCCTCCAACACAAAAAAAAAACCCTTTCACACACTGATTTTCCTCCAATGACTTGCAACCTTGAAGAGACAGTCCCAAGAAAGCATTAGCCATCCTGCTGCTGAATGAAAGGGTTTGGAATGGCCTCCATGCCATCCTGTGGACAGATGAGAACCACAGAAGTTCCTCTGCAGACCACCAGCCCCAGCTGGCGCGTGTCTTCTGTTAATTTGTATTGATCATCTGGATCTGAAAAGCAGAGGTCTACGGTTACAATGGCAGAAAACAAACCAAGTATCATCACCTTAAAAACATGCACAGATGAACAGTATTTTTCCAGGTTTCTCTGGAAAATAAGTCACTGCTGTGTCAGCCATAAAAGGCTTTAGTTTCACAGAAATGCAAAGACCACACAAATCAGTTTGAGAGAGCAAAATGCCAATTTTTGCTGAATTTTTTTCATGCTTTGAGGGAACTGGCCATCAACAGTGTACACACAGTGAAATGCAACTCACAGAGCAGAATGTTTCTTATTAAGCAAGTTATTCTTGGGGAAAAGAAAAAAAAATCTTTATGTAGATTACCTCTCATGTACTCAATGGTACCATCAAGCACAAGGTTCAGAAGTGGGTCAAATCCTTTCAAGACTCCGCTAGCTATTAAAGACCAAAAACACAAAAGAATGATTAGAGAGACTGCCCTGCCAGAAGTGCTGCAGGACTCGGTCCTCCCGCAATCAAGGCTATCAAACAAGCACCACCAGAGATACCAAACACTGCCCTTTTATCACAACACAAAAAGCATTAGTTGAAAGCAGCACAGAATCACAGAATCGTTAAGGTTGGAAGGAACCTCTAGAGATCATCTAGTCCAACCACCTGCACACGCAGGGTCCCCTAGAGCACGTGGCACAGGACTGCATCCAAGCGGGTTTGAAGATCTCCAGAGAAGGAGACTCCACAACCTCTCTGGGCAGCCTGTTTCAATGCTCTGGCACCCTCGCTGGTAAGAAATTTTTCCTTAAGTTCCTGTGGAACTTTTCGTTCTTCACTTTCCGGCCGTTTCCTCTAGTTCAATCGGTGGCCACCACTGAAAAGAGGCCGGCCCCATCCTCCTCACTGCTTCCCTTGAGGTACTTCTAGACACTGCTCAGGTCCCCTCTCAGCCTTCTCTTCTCCAGGCTGAACAGGCCCAGCTCCCTCAGCCTCTCCTCATAGGGCAGATGTTCCAGGCCCCTGATCATCCTTGTGGCCCTGCGCTGGACTCTCTCCAGCAGCTCCACATCCCTCTTATACTGTGGAGCCCAGAACTGGACACCATCCTCCAGATGTGGCCTCACCAGGCCTGAGCAGAGGGCCAGGATCCCCTCGACCTGCTGGAGATGCTCTTCTTGACGCACCCCAGGATCCCATTGGCCTTCTTGGCCACGAGGGCAACTGCTGCCTCATGGTCACCTTGTCACCCACCACGACACACCAAAGGAAGGTTTAAGAATTTTCAGCCCGATCTTCCAAACTATTATCTTTTTGTTACCAGCCAAGTTCAGGAGCAATTTAAGAAGGCAGCCCAGAAGAAAAACACCAGAAGATGAGAAAAAGATTAAATAAAAATAAAACAGACACATTATTTAAAGAGGGATCACAGTAGGAAGCCCTGCAGCTCCAACAACAAATGGTAACAAAGAAAAAGAACCCATCGCTCGTCTTTACTTCAAGGGAGGCAGCGAGAGCACCGAGGGGGCAGCCGCCGCCTCAGGCCGCCCCGGCCGAGGCCGCGGCCGGGTCTCACCTTCGCGGCCGCCCTGGAACTTCACGCGGATCGTCTTGTCGATGTACTTGGAGAGATCCAAGATGCTCTCCTTCTTCTTCTTCTCCTGGTCCGGGCGGGGGAGAGCAGGGAAAAGCGGGATTGAGGCGCCGCCGCCGCGCGCTACCCCCCGCAGCCGGCGCC